GCTGCCCTCTCCTCCTCCTCTTCCTCCCTCCCTCCCTCCCTCCCTCCTCCTCCTCCTCCTCCTCCTCCTCCTCTTCTGCCGCGACTTCTCTCCCGAGTGAAAGTGCCGCGCAGCGAGTCAGGCGCTGGGATCATCTGACCGAACTTCCCGCGGCTCCTCCGCGCTGCTGGGCGGCCGCACCCGCGCATCTCCCGCCCCCCCCCCCCCCCCGCCCCGCTGCCGGGCTCCTCTCCTGCCCCCCCCTTTTCCCGGGGGGATCACCCCTCACTCATTTCCATATCTCCTCTCTCTCAGTCCCCCCCCTCCCCGCCCCGGCGCACACCTCTGCTTCACTCCAGCAGCTCGGATCAACCCCGTTATCTTGGAAAATCCCGAGCTTTCTTCCTTTCTACCCTCTTTAGCTCCGCCGGAATTTTAGCCAGCCCCGGGATCTAATCCCGAGCCTTGCCCACCCTCGCACACACGCGGGGACACGCACACAGGCGTGGAGCCCACTGAGGCATTAGTTGGATTATTCTATTTTGTCCCCTTCTATAATTTGTATGTGATTGCACTCACACTCCCCTCCCTCTGCCCAGCTTCCTTGATGACCATCTATTTTTCTTTTTCTTTTCCTTTTTTTTTTTTTTTTTTTTTTTAATTATTTTAGTTCTGCTGCGTTTCTAAGGAATTTCTGTCTGATTTCGATAAGCATCACCGTTTCTGGTGTTATCAGCAAAGACATAAGCTCAGAAGTGACATCTTTTCCACGAACCCAGGAAAGAAGAAAAATCCACTCAGTCCAGATAAATCCTGGGCAATTCCCAACGGGAAAGGCATTGGATACGTGCTTGTCGAGAAAGAGAAAATGAAAAAGAAAAAACAAACCCTAACCAAACCCACCCTCACTCGTCTACCTGCTTCTCAGAACTAGGACATTTCTCACTCAGAAATGAATGAAAGAAACAAATTCTAGAGCACAAAGAGAAAAGAGTGGACGGACAGAAAGTCGAGAATTATTTTTTTCTCCCCTTTCTTGGCCAGAGCAAGACCCTGAAGGGAGAAGTTAGACCTTCGCCTAACCAGCGCGCACACTTGCAATGAAGTTTGCGGGATCTTTAAGTGGTTACCTTAAAAATCGCAATTAAACTTTCGGCTCCCAAGTGTGGTGGCTTTCCCAAGTTAGTGCAGTTCCGTGAAAACCCACTTTTTGCATGGGAGCAACAAGAATAATCTCTGTCACCCCGGTCCAAACGTGGTCCCAAAGACTTGGCTGCGAGAACAGGGCGAATAGGCTGCGGTCCTGGTGTCCTGGGCAAGCAGAGGCATCCAGCTTTTTATTTTTTTTTTTTTTTTGGAGGGGTGGGTGCTTTTTTGCGACTCAAACCGTGTTGAGAAAATATTAAACGCGTAGACGCATCCCTCATCGCAGAGCATGTGACGGGTTTAACACGCTAAACTAATAATCTTGTAGGAAAAAGGAAGGAGGCTGAAGAAGAAGAATAAAACCCCCTCAAACACTCAGAATATTCTTTACTGCAAAAGAGCACTTCTGGATGCGTTGCTTTAAATCTCATTCTCTTTTTCTCTCAAAAATGACTGTTTAACATAAGAAAAAAGGCTACTTGACACAAAGCTTTTGTTATCCAGTTGATCAGCAACGTGCTTTAGATACTTGTAAGGGGAAAAAAGCCCCACAACAGACATTGATTTTAGAAAATCAATAACCAACATTTAATAAAAAGAACAGAGGAAACACAAGAGAGGAGAGGGAAACATTACGTGTAATTTTAATGTCTACTAAATTACCCAGAGATGAGGGGAAGGGGAGGTCTCCTCTGTGAGGACCACCTTAAATAATGACAGACACAAGAGTAAAGGGTGGTGGTGGAGGGGGAGAGACTTTAAAAAAAGATAACAAGGAACGGATCCTTGGGAAGCTGCTCGGAATATATTATTTTAGTTGGGTTTTTTTTTTTTTTTTGTAATACTAAGCCAAGCAAATAGATCAAAGACAACACAAAGGGAAAAGCCAGTGTAACATAACGAACAGTTTCTGACTAAAATTCCTCTATCACTCCCCCATATGGCTCGACGCCTCCACCACAACAAGAAAAAAGAGACACACACACACTCACACTCACACTCACAACCTAAAGAGAGGGAAGGGGAAGGGGGGGGGGTGGCAAGATCATTTGTTTCTAATCAACATTCTCTTGTCTTTGTGTTTTGTTAATTTTTTTGTTGTTGTTGATGTTGTTCTCTCCCCCCCCTCCTCTTCCTTCACCCCCCCTCCCCAACTCCCCCACCTCCACCTCTCCACTCAAATGAAGTAGCTGAGCTCTCTAAGCGCATGGGTTCAGGTTCACACAAATATCTTCCTTCCTCCGGCTCCTCGAGAGGAAAGTTGTTGAAAGTGGGGCCGGGATGGCCATGCGAGGGGCTGCGGGTGGGGAGGGGGAGGCCGGCGGGGGGTGTGTGTGTGTGTGTGTGTGTGGGAAGAGACAGACCATCAGCCCGGGGAGAAAGGAAGAAACTAAGGGAGGGACGGGGAGAGACGGAGAAAAAGAGACCCACAGCAGAGCAAGCTGCCAAATGTGAAACCAGCCCCCAACACCGCGTCCCACCGAGCCCCGGCCCTCCGCGCCCGGCGGAGAGGGCAACCACGGACAATTGGGCACCAGACTCATTAGTATTATTAATTATTAGGGAGGAGGAAGTTTCATTTTCGAGTCCCTAACAATAAATAAATAAATAAATAAGAAACAAAAAAAAAAAAAAAAAGAAAAAGAAAAGAGAGTCGCTAACTCGGTGCCAGCCTGCCTCGGGGTTCTCACGCTGCCGGTTTTTTTGTTGTTTTGTTTTGGTTTTTGTTTTTTTTTTTTTTTTTTTTTTTTTTTCCCAGGGCCTCCCGCCCGGCTCCGCGCCGCTCCGCGCCTCCCCCCCCCCCCCGCGCCCAGCTCCGCGCCTCTCCGCTCCCCGAGCCTGACATCGCCCTAAACCACCCGGCAAAGCGGCGGCCGCCCCTCACCTCCCCCCTCCCCTCCGCTTCCCGCCCCCCCCCCCCCCCCCCCCACCTCCGCCAAAACCGCCCTGCGCTCCGCCGCCGCGGGGCAGCCCCCCCACCCGCTCCGCGGCCGCGCAACAAACTTTGGGGCGCGGCGGCGGCGCCGCTACTCCCCCCCCCCCCCCCCCCCCAACACACACACCTTTTTCACCACCACCTTCCCTTCTCCCTCCCACTCCCCAAACCCTTCCCTCTTCCCCCCCACCCCCCCCCCCCCCCCCCCCCAACATTCCGGCGGCCGCGCAACCCCCGCGGGACCCCGCGGATGGGCGCTGCCGCCCGGGCGGGCGCCGTCCCCACGCGTGTGTGTGTGTCTGTGTGTCTGTCGTCGTCCCCCCCCCCCCCCCCCCCCTCCTCCCTCCGCTCCCCGCTCGCTTCCCCGTCCTGCAGCCAGCTTCCCCCCCCCCCTTTCTCCGCGGCCGGAAAAAAAAAGTTTTTTTGGGGGGGCGGCTTACCGTTTTTCCTCCGGGGGTTGGCTTGTTTTCGCCTCTTACACCTGGGGCCATCCGCCATGATCTGCTGCTTCATTGATAAGAGTGGATCAGATGGCAGTTCGCATGGACTCGACTCCCTGATTCAGCAGCACGCAGGCTCTATGTAACAACCAAACACAGCAACAATGTGGGCATTGGTATATCCCATTTAAACGCAGGGCGCCAACGGGGACCCCGGTTTGCACCCCAAAAAGAGCCCATCCACGCACACGGCGAGCTCGGCCGGGCCGGGGGAGGTGGGACGCAGGCGGAGCGGGCTCCCCCCTCGCTCCCCAGCCGGGCAGATTTCTTCTTTCTTTCTTTTCTTTCTTTTCTTTCGCTCTTTCTTTTGCCTTCTATCTATTTATTTATTTATTTCGATTTGGTCGCTCTCGCTCCCTGCGTGTGCGTGTCTCCGCGTGTGCGTGTCTCTCTCTCTCTCTCTCTCCCCCCGTGTGCGTGTGTGTGTGTGTGTGTGTGTGTGTGTATTGCACCAGCAAAGCAGATCAGAGAGAGACAAGAATTACATCTCAAATGAGTCATAACTCATGACCGTATGAGGGAATGCACAGCTTTTACAGTAGGCTGTTTGACTCGATGCTAGGCGGACCATTTCCTCCTAAAAGTACTTTAATTTGACATTAGAACTTCTTTTCACACCAAATGCTAGCCTCCTCTCCTTCTTCTCCTCCCTTCCTTGCTTTATTTCCAACCCCCCCCCCCCCTCAAAGTGCACTCCAGCAAAGTGATAAGAGGGAAACATGGCTCTCCCCTGTCCTTTTGGGGTAAAGCACAGCACGGAGACCTCCCCCTCCCCCTAACAACCAGGAGTGTAATTATAAACCTCTGTCACCTTTTTAGTCAGTTTGACAATATTCAGGGTTTCCCCTGCCCCTTAGTTAAACAAAGCTTCAGAGTGTCATTTTTTTTATTATTTTTTTTTTTTTCTTCCCAGAAAAGAAACAGAAATCAAAACTACCGCTGTCAGAGTTTTCAGGCTTTCAGTTGGGTTTTTGGTTTGGTGGTTTTTTGGGGGGTTGTTTTTATTTTATTAAAAAAAAAAAAAAAAAAAAAACAACAAAAAACCAAAAAAACAAAACAAAACAAAAAAACAACTTGTAAACTTTTGGACCTGCTGTGTGTGCTCGGGCTGTGCAGGAGGCTCCATCTGTCAAAGGGAGAGGGCAGGAGCCTTTGGTTTGCTGCAGGAACGCTCCTGAAACTCAGTCCACCTCGAAGAAGATGCTGTAGCTTTAAAGATGCTTTGACTTGAGGATTAGTTTAAACAGGGGGCTATAAAAGATGTAACAGATGCAAACTGTAAAACAAGGGCAATTAACCCTTGCTCTCCTGAGCAGATCCCCCCTCGCCTTCGCATCTATTGTCTTCTCCTGCACTGGGAGTTTTACACAAAATCTAAAAAATTATTACCTGCCTCAACAATTTGAATATATTATTTTTGCAGCAAAGTGGGCTTTTTTTTTTTTTTTTTTTTTTTTTTTTAGTTTATTTTCCTTTTTCTCTCCCCCACCCCCCGCCACCCCCCGCCCCTTGTGTCTTTTTACTCTGCTGGAGCTTCACACCAGGACTGAGCAGTGAGGTGTGTTACTGCTAGGTCTATTTATTCTGCCTGAACTCTCTTCTCAGACGTTTGCGGTTATAAAACCTGCTTGGCTTAAATGTAAATAAATAAATAAAATAAAGAAAAGAATGCTCTCCAAGAAGGTAAGAGGATGGGAATATTGAGAGAGTGTGTGCAGGGTCAGCGTGTTTGCTCCCACTCTCCTGCTTTGGGACTCCGCCTGGACAGGGTGACTTGGTGGCTGGATGTGGCTGAGGAAGGAAGAGGCTGAGAAAATGGGCTAGAAACTTTAGTATTTGCCAGTTATTCCCGATCCTGGAGTGGGCAATGGTGGCATCAGCGCGGCAGATCTAGCAGGAGATGGAGCGGAGAGGGGAGGGCAGGAACCGGGGCGAGCCGGGACCCTCCGCCCGCCTCGGCACTTGGCGTTTTCATGTAAAACGACCAATAGTGAATTGTTTTAAATGCGTTTCATTCCCTTCCCTGCTCTTCAGCCTCCCGCAAAAAAAAGTTGTCATTAATTTTAAACCTGCAGATCTCGAGAACACTTCTCTTTCCGGAGGGCCGGCTAGATTTTTAATATAAATATATATATATATATATTATTTTTTCCTTTTTGCTAAACGACTTTTAAGTTCCAGTCAGTACTTTCACTTCTTGCTTTAGGATCCCAGAAGCTAAGGTGTTACTTCACCCAGCTTCACAAAATAAAATAAAGAAATGAAAGTAACTAAGCAGACAAAACAGCAAACTTTCTGTTTGGGGAAACACATCCTTTGCCGGGGAGCTCTGCCCGGGGCTGGGGCTCCAGCGGTGCCCGGCCGGGCTGGCTTTGCAAGCTCAGGGCGTGCAAAGCATTAACAGGTACCTGCAAACTTTCCGAGCTAAGATGTGAAACCTGAAATAAAAAGAGCGAGAGTTGCGTGTGTGTGAGGGGGATGGTTTGGGCTTGGCTTTATTTTTTTTTTTTTTTTTTTTTTTAGGAGGGTCAAGTCCCTTCGCAGCACTAAAACTTTTGCTGCTGCGTTGTAAAAGGTACCTCCGGTACCTGGCTGACAGGTAAGGGGAGCAGGGGTGGGGGTGGCACAGCCCCGAGCGCCCCGAAACTGCTAGCCCCTTCCCGGAGCGGTACCGAAGTGACTTCAGGTTTCAGCTTAAAAAAAAAAAAATAAATAAAAAGAGGTTTTTCGCCCCAAGTATAAACAAGCCAGAAAGAACCCAACACGCTTAAAAAATTAAAATACTATCGAAATTAAATAAGCCCGCTAGTGCGTGAGGTGGTGTGAGAAAAAAGAAGCGGAGGGAAAAAAAAAAAAAAAAAAAGGGAAAATGGAATTAAATTCCGAACCTACCTGCGAAGTCTTGTTTGTAGTTTTGGCCAGAAATGGTGAGAAGAAAAAGCATGAAGAAGCCGCGAAGTGGAGGAGAAAAGGTGAAGGGAGATGCAGCTCCTGGAGAAATTGTAAAAAGCCTTGCAAAGAGTTGTCGGAAGGACCGTTATTCCTGCTGGGCAGGTTAGGACTGATCTCTTTCTGCCACTCCAGGAAACACAAACCTGGGGACGGACTGACGTGTTACGCCTCTTCTAATGACATTTTTTTCTTTTTCTTTTCTGTAGGAGCGAGAGGAGAGACCCTGAAACACACGCCACCTATCTTTGTGGGGAGGGATAATTGAAGAGCACCAAACGTGAGCATCATGTGGAAACGTGATCGCCAAGTTTCTCTCTGGGAAAGGATCTGGGATAGATTATACCTTGAAGTCTCCGCGAACGCTTTAGCGGCAGAAATGCAATTCCACCTCCTCCCGCCCGCCCCCCGCCCCGCGCCCGCCCCCCGCCCCGCCGCGCCGCTCCGCGCCGCTCCGCGCCCCGCCGCGTTCACCCCGCCGCGGAAACTCACCGCGCCCCGGCACCGCATCTCACACTCCCCCCCCCCCCCATACCCCCAACCCCTCCACACCTCCCGGGGGGGGTGGGGGGGGGCTGCATCTCCCTCCACCCCCCCCAAGCCTGCATCCCCCCGCCGCATCCCGCCCCCCCCCGCCGCTGCATCCCTGCCCCCCCCCCCCCCCTCCATCCTCTGCCCTCCTACCCCCCCCGGGGTGCATATCTTGACACCCCCTTCCCTCCCCTAGGCGGGATGCCCCCCCACGCGAGATATGTGCCGGACACCCCCCGCCTCCCCTCCCCTCTTTTCTCCTTCTTCAGGATCCCGCCGGATCTCCTGCCCCCAGGCTGGATCCCTGCCGCTTCCCACCCCCCCCCCGCCGCCTCCCTCCATCCCCAACCGGGATCCCTGCCGCCCCCCCCCCCCCCCCCCTCCGGCGGGATCCCCTCCGCGCCCGCCCGCGGAGCCGCCCGGGGGCCGCATCCTGCGCACGGCGCGCAGCCCCGGCCCGCTGCGCAGCCCCTCGCGGAGCTCTCGCCTCTTGCGGAGGGGAAAACTTCCCCTGACATAATACCTCGAAACTAAACTCTGTTCGGGCACTGCAAATACGCTCCTGACTGACTCCTGCTCGTTTGGGTGCTGTTTTATTTTTATCCTTAACCCGTTTCTTTTAGGGCATTTTTTTTTTTTTTTTTTTTTGCCCCCCACCTCCTTTCATTTTCAGCACTCATCCAGGTTATTTGAATAGTCAGCTAAATCTGATGGAAAAAAAAAAAAAAACAACAACAAAAAAACCAACCCAAAACTCAGAACGTGCTGAGATCTTAGAGTCTGTGTTTTGTTCACAGATCTGGATCAGGGGTGAGATGGGCTCTTCGTGGCTCTGATCTCCCGTGGAAGCAGCTGGATGGACTGAGAGGCAGCACGGACGAGTAACGCGTGGGACTGAACTTTAGGGAGGTTACAAGTTTTTCACCTTTTTCAAGTATTAAAATTAAAATAAAATTACATCTAGAAAAAAAAAAAAAAAAGAGGGGGAAAAAAAAAAAAAAAAGAAACCCAGACTCCACCTTTGCACTGAAGGGATTGGTTATGCAAATATGGAAGGGGTTTCCTGGCAAATACAGCTTTCTACTGTATGGTTAATTAAATCATCACTCAAAAGCCTTCCAATGTGACGCTTCTGTCGTAATCCAATCAGGTTACGTAGGTCCTAAACAAGAAAGATATTTTCCACATCTGGAAGTCAGCAATTTAGCAAGTACTGCACATTATTAACCAATTCAGAGCCCACTTCCCAGGGGGATATTTTTTTTTTCTTTTTTCTTTTTTTTTTTTTTTTTTTAAGTTTAAGTGTTCTTAACCAATGCTCTGCTGTTTTGTTAATCAAAAAGCCGGTTTACACTGCACGTAATTGAGAAGTAATATCGAAGTAAGTAAAGGCAGCCCGGGCTGGGGATGCTGAGCGAAGGCGTTTATCTGCAAAGGGGGCTGATACGGCTGAGCTCCGCTCATGCCCAACTCGCAGCACAACCCGCAGCCGTTTCTTCTTCTAAAAGAGCTCGAAATAATCTCAGTGCAAAGATAAACTTCACATCTTGCCTCCTCGCACGGTCCATTCCGAAGGTAAACGTGAAGCTGCCCAAAGGGCTGTGTTAAAGAGCTGCGAAACAATTTCCCTCCTTTGACAAGAGTTAAGTCTATTACAGCACTTTTTTCCTTCTTTTTTTTTTTTTTTTTAATTTTTTTTTTTCTTTTTCCCCGCTCCCCCTCCTGAAGAAAACTGAAACAAATGGTACACTGATCCGACACTATACTTTTACTTACATTAAGCTAAGATAAACTGCTCTTGAACTGTGCATTGACTGGGTGCCTAAAGCAAGAACTGGAATGCGAGCAAATAGGCACCAGCGATCGCGCTCCAAAATGCTCCTGATCAGAAACACCTCTCTGGTGATTAAACATCGCAAAGGAAGGAAGGGGAAGCCCCCGCACCCCCCTCCCCAAATGTGTCTTTGCAGCTCATCAGAGCCACCGAGATATTTTTAAATTTTTTTTTTTTTAAATTATTATTATTTTTTTTTTTTTTTTTTTTTTTTTTTTTTTTACATTTTCTCCTCTGCTGGTGGAAGCTGCCCTGCTGCCAGCTCGCCGTGAGTGGGTGCCCCTGGGTGACGCAGGGCAGCGGCAGCGCAGCCGGGCGCGGGTTGTGGGGAGTGGAGAGGGGGGTTGGGGGGGGGTGGGTGTCCGGGCCAGGGCGCACCGACACGCAGGGGGACCCACCCGAGACCTCCCCACCTGCGGGGGGGATGTCGGAGAAATAGCCACCAAAATCCCCCCCACACACACCCCCCCCGGGTGTCCCCCCTTTACAAGCCCGGGCGCGGCAGGAGGAGCGGGGGGGGTGGGGGGGGGGGGGAGGCGGTGCAGACTGCGTGCTGTTTGCGCGCTGCCTGCGCGCTGCCTGCGCGGGGGGCCGCGGGGCCCGGCCAGCCTGGCTTCTCCAGGGCTGCCAGCCACGGAGGGGCTTAAAGCAAATCTGCCTGCAGACCTGGCGGGCTGCTGCCGCTGAAAACCGTAATTATGCAAAGGTGGGCACGAGGTTCTCTAATTTTTTCATTGTTATTTTTATTTCTATTTTTTTTTTTTTTTTTTTTTTTTTTTCCCCTGGTATGAGTTAGCTTGGCTTTGCTAAAAGTTTGGTGGCCACTATTTGCTAAATGCCAACGTTATTTTCTTGCAGGCTGCATGACTTGTCCATGCCTAAATATACCTGTATACCCAGAGACGTATCTCACACACACACAGAGTGATGATATCTTACTGAAATATATAGCGCAGTGCAAATATCCTGGAATCAGATTCAAGTATTATTAATTTGAATTAGATCCCCTCAGATCCAGAAGACACTGCCTATAAATCAAGGGCAGCCTGGCAATTCCTTAAAGAGCTAAACTGAATTTAGAAGCATATGATAAAAAGAAAGAAAAAGAAAAAAGTGAATGCTAATTAATGACTCGCTTGATTTCCAGTCATCCACGTTTTATAGGAGAAAAGGGAAGAAACAAAAAACAACCAACAAGTTCTCAAAATAAATTAATCCCATTACAAATGCCTCACATATTGTTCTTACATTTCCAGATTACAAAACGAGGGGATGATCCGGAGATTAAGAGAAACTGCAGCCTAACCTGCAATAGGCGGGAGTGCCGTCGATGTTCTATCATTAAAATAGATATCTACAGCTACACTAAAAAACAAACCCTCAGACCGTGTGATGATGCTCAAGGGCTTTAAGGAACGTGTTGGTATTGTCAGATAATCCCTATTCATAATTTTGCAGACTGTTCTTTCAGCCCTCAATCTCACAGTTTCTCCAGCTCTCAAGTGCCTCAGCAGGGCTTGCATCGGAGCGATAAACTGCTCTGATCTTCGCAGGAGTGGCATAACACCCAACCTTATTATATGTCATTTTAACGTGGTACGTGGGGGTGATTTCTGTTGTTTCCTTCTTTTTTTTTCTTTTTAATTTTTGGACACTGGACATAAACGTTTAGCAATCAGATAAACCCTTCTGAGATGGAATTTAACCTTAATCCAGGCGATGATTTCCTGCCCGGCTCTGAACTAATAACGGGTGTGAAGCTTCTTTAGGAGATGGAAATAATGACAGCCTATAGATCCTGCTTTTACTGGGGTGGTGCTGGCAGCCCAGCTCCCGGCCCCTGCATGGTCAGCATCCCCATGCAGAGCCTATGCCTCCCTCGATTTTAAACTTTTCCAAAAACGACCCCCCCACACACTCCTCATCCATTTAAAACCAACCAGACCCAAAACATCCTCACAAAGCCCAGCTCCCTCCTTGCGTAAGGCACCCGGCGCTGTGGCTTGGAGATGGTCTTAAGGGCGGTTCTCTGGGTGCAGGTTTCCCCTCTTTTCCTCAAGTTTTCCTGCGGGGAAATGCGGAGAGGTGAGACGGGGGCAGCCGGGTGGTCCTGACACAAACCTGCCCGAGCGATGCCAACGGGCGATGCTGGCTGCCTCCTCCTCCTCACTGGGTTTCCCTTTGTCCACCAAACCCCATCGTGGTGGAGATAACCCCCGTGGAGATAACCCCCCCTGGCGATAACCCCATGTCCCCCCCCTACCCCCATGTGAGGCTGTGAGGGGCCAGGGGCTCATTACCATAAGAAAGGGGCTGTGCAGGGAGAAAACCCCCTCCCAAGACCCCCCTTCTTCCCAGGCACCTGGGTGTGATGGGCAGGGGAGGGGACCAGCCAACGAGGGGGGGGTGGTGGTGGGGGGGATGTTCCAGGTCACAGGCCCTGGAGGACCTCGGCCTTCTGTTGAGACCTCCTGCCACCGTGGCTTCGCGGGGACCGGGTGACGCGGGCTGGTGGGATGATTCATGGCCTTATTTATTTCGGTGCGTTCGCTTTTTTTTCCCTGGCGCAGGATGAGTAACGGGGAGCGCGTTTTCTTGCCCGCATGGAAGGAGGAAAACCAGGGGGGATAACAGCAGAGATGCTCCAGCTGATAGGTTTCAACTAATGTATTTTAGAAGGTGGTGAAGACAGAGGTTTAACACCTCTAAAAAACACATTATCTGCTCTGGGGCTTTTACTTTGGGTCCCTCACAGCCAGGGCTCTCCAATATTTCCCCCAAAGTGTGGAACCCTTCCTGCAGTAGGGATTAAACATCCCTGAGTAAGGGGACCCAGGCGAGATGTGCCCACTTGCAGCTGACCCTGGGGAGAGCATCCTTCCCCGCAGCCCTGCTCCGCCGGGGGAGCGGCTGCCGCAAGATCGGGGTTCCCCGGGGGGTGCCGGCTGCTTCTCATGCACAGATCTCTGGGGTGCTTGGGAAAAAATGGGGAGGTTGCAAAAAAAACCCCCCAAAACAACCCCCAAATCAAACAAACAAGCAAAAATAATACCAGCAGGGGGGTTATTTTCTCCAGTCACCTGTGGTAGTAGAATATAAGAAAGGATGGAATAATTTTTCCGAACGGGGAAAGCCCCGTGTGGCCCCAAGATGCTGCTTTTGCTAGATACAGGTGTCTTTATAAACTAAGATTTAGAGAGCAAAACGTCTTTATTTTTATTTTTTTTTTTCCATTTCCACATGGAGGAGAGGGCACAGAGGAGAGGAAGAAAGGGTCAGGGAAGGACTCTCCCCCCACCCGCTGATGAGGTATTTGGGAAGAAACCTTTTGAATCAACATTCCCAAAGTTTTCGAGTTCCTCTGCGGAAAACCCATGTAGGGATAGGATACGAGCCAAAAGCAAGGGAAAAGATTGTCTGGCTTTAATTTATCTATCCCTGGGCATTTTTAACAAGCAGACCTCGCTCTAATATTTAATCTCGCGCACGTCCCTGCCCGTTAAAAGCGAATCTCTCTCGGAGGTTTTTGTCAATTTTGTCATTTATAAAATTGCTTCTGAGGGCCTAGGGCTGCTCAGCTCCCGTCCACAACGTCCGTCTGTCTGTCTGTGGCAGGAGAACAGCGTCCACAGGACCCCAACCCTCTTCCCACGCCGAGCAGAGGGGAGCCAGCGGCTCTGGCAGCTGGGAGAGGTGGCGGCGGGTCGGGGGGCGAGAGTCCCCCCTCCGCTCTCCTGCACCCTCAGACGTGGAGGTTTTTCCTTCTCTTCTGGGATCAGCGCTGAAGTTCGGATGCATTTCTTGGCTCAGTTGGCAGTGATTAAAATTCACTGCTCACTTTTGTTTATAGTTGGTTGTTTACTTTGTTGAATTTTTAAAAACTTGTTAGAATGCAATTGAACACAGATTCAACAGTATTTAGGCTTGAAAAATAAAGATGCATTAGAAAGATGCCTATTATGCTTCAGAATTATTAATTGACATTTTTATGATGAATAATTAATCATTTGAATAATTTTAGTATCTCTGATCTGAACACATATTTGCATATCTAATGTCTGATTTTCAATGTGGTTTCTTTAGTTGCATTCTCCCAGGACAAAGACATGAAGTAAGTAACATCCTAATGCAAAACTTTTTTTCTTT